TCAAAGATAAACATTTTAAAGTTTCCTCTTTAGAAAGAGTTTCATCATTTTATACTCTGTCAGTAGCTTACAGAAATATGCAGGGACAGGAATCGCATATGACTGTGATCATTTAAAAAATCTTTGTTGATATCCTAAGTGAAGAAGCTCTTGTTTAATTTACATTTCTAGGATTTCTAGAGAGTTCAGTGCTTTGGCGTGTTTGATGGTCTTCCTCTGTGATTTCTGGAACAGAGGTAATCTGCCTTCTATTAAAACAAAAAAATTAATTCCCAACTCAGATTCCTTAAAACTTCCTAGACCCAGTCCCGGAACCAGACTTTGGTGTTTCACACGCATTGAGTCAGAGCCTGACCTTCCTCTAGGACAGGGGTCCCCAACCCCCCGGGCCACAGACAGGTACTGACCAGTCCATGGCCTGTTTGGACCTGGGCCACACAGCAGAAGGTGAGTGGCGGGCGAGCGAAGCTTCACCTATATTTGCAGCCGCTCCCCAGCGCTAGCATCACCGCCTCAGCTCCGCCTCAGATCATCAGGTGTTAGAGTTTCATAGGAGCACTGGTCCCAGGTGCCACAAAGGTTGGGAACCACTGCTCTAGGAAGTCTGAAGTGGTTTTAAGTGGCCTTCTCGCGCCCTCAAGTGGTCACATTGGCAACTGCAGCCTTGCCCCCTTTCCTGTCTTCAGAACCGGATTCACCCCCTGTAGGTAATCCCAGAGGGAATCACAAAAAAGGGAACCCCCACAGGCAGGGCTGGGCCTGGGCCTCGTTTGCTGTCAGACGACGTGGAGATTACTCTCCTTCGTGGCTGGCAGGTCCTCTTAGTGTGGGCCATTTGTGCCCTTGTCACCTTGGCTCTTGGGGAGGGACGGGAGGCCACAGGTCAGTTCTCACGCAGGTGCCCGATGGAGACAGAAAGTGGAGAAGATACTCCAGTTCTCATTCCCTGACCCCCCTAAAACTCTGAGTTCTCTGGCTTCTTTTTTATAGAGGTGGGAAGTTATAAGGAAATAACATCATTAAAATTAATTTCCATGGCTATGAGGGGATTCCTGTTAGAGAACCTCGAAATCTCCTAGCAGTAAGCAGTCATTCTTGTTACACCCTAGTTTTTAACAAAAGTCAGGAAACACTTGTGAAGAAGTTTCTAGAACTTTCTACAAGTGAGGGTGACTAACCTTAAGAGAAAGACAGGAGACCTAAAGACGTGTAACTTTCTAACATTATGCCCCACGGCCCTCTTCACACTCCTCACTCCTTACATTCTGCTCCAGGCTGTGAAAATAATACAGTCACTGCAGAAAAAACTTACTAAAAATCCCCCATATCCTGTCTATGGCCACGCCACCCTGAACAAGCCCGATCCCGTCTGATCTCGGAAGCTAAGCAGGGTCGGGCGTGGTTAGTACTTGGATGGGAGACCACCTAGGAAGACCAGGTGCTGTAGGCGTAAAAAAAAAAAAAAAAAGAGATTGTAAGCTGACAAGGCCCTTGCAATCTGTGAAGTCAACCAAGGGTTGCCTCACCTAAAAAAAAAAAAAAAAAAAAAATCACCCATATCCTATAATCAAAGCTATTGACCATTAACATTTGGCATACACCTGAGGTGTATAAGCATACACATAATTTTGGAATCACATAGGCATGTGAAGTATGTGTATCCATGTCTGTACACACACGTGCATACACACACACATACACGCTTTTATCCTGTTTTAAAATACTTTAAGTATGTGTGTCATTAAATCTTTTTTTGAAAATGCAATTATAGTCTGCATAATAGTATAAACACCATGATCGATTTTATAGCAATCAGGCTTTTGACGCTCATTTTTGTAGGCTATCGTCACGATGCTGAGGTGAAGATCCTTTAAACGATCAAACTTGATTATTTCCTTAGGATAAATTCTCGCAGTAGAATTTTTGGGTCAAAATAATCTGAACTTCTAAATTCTGTTGATAGTTAATACCAAGTTTTCTTTTAAAAGCTGGTTCAGTTGCTGCCATCCCTGCAGAGTGGAGAATGTCACTGATTGTGATTCTTTTTAACCTCGCCAGTGATAAATAAAGCGTGGAATATTATTTTAATTTGCAATTTTTTTAAATCGCGAGACAGGTGAGGATTTTTCTCTTACATTTATTGGTCATTTACACTTCTCGTCATTTGTCTTTTCCTAATTTTCTTTTTTACATTGGACTGTTAATTGAGTTATTTGCATATATGGGTTGTTCTTTTTTGCCATATAGTACAGATGTCTTATTTGTCATTTGCTTTTAGTTTATAGTATTTCACCTGAAGAAGTATTGTGTGTGTGTGTGTGTGTGTGAGTGTGTTCACAGTTTAAAAACTATGGGAAAGTACTATAGCAAATAACCTTTATTTACCTACCACCCAGAATGCACAAACATTTGTATGTTGTCGTTTTGGCTTATTGACTTATTTTTTATAAAGGAAGCAGCTATTACAGATAGATCGGTTTCCCTTCCCATCCTATTTCCCCCTTCCCCGGGCAGCTGCTGTCGTGAATTGAGTGCATGGATCCTTCAGTCCCAGTGTTTTTACTGTTACGACATATACAAGTATCAATAAACAACATCCAGTACTGGTTTGTGTGTGCGCACGTGTGCGCGCTTTCACTTACGTGTACATGTGTGTGTGCTTTCACTGACATGTCTAGTACCTGTCATATTAATGCATCACTGAGCCATCTTCCTATTCGCACATCAGTACGTTCAGTTCAGTTCAGTTCATAATGACATGTACAAATCCAGTTCATTCATTTTGACTGCTGTGTAGTATCTCATCCCGTGAATATAAGTCCAAATTCTTCCTCAATATTTGCGTCAATTTCTCTATGCCGGTGAACACTGACGATGCTCTGGGTGTCCAGGTTTTTCCTTCAGGGCTGCAGTGAGCATCCGTACGCACACCTCCTTCCTCACACCGGGAGGCCTTCTTGAGGGGCGTCCCTCGGCGTGTGCGTAGGTAATGTGGGTTTCCAGCTCTCTGGCCTCTTGTCACATTCTTCCCTAAGCGGTCATGCCAGTCGACACTCCCCTCTTGTCCCGCCCCTTCACCAAGACATTGTCAGGCTCAGTGGTCTTTGCCCATTGGGAATGAGATAGCCTCTCATTGTGCTTTTAATTTGCACATCCTGATCGCTGGTGGCATCGAACATCTTTTTAAATGGTTATTGCCTGGAGTAGAACAGGTAGGTTTCTCCTTCCTATTCTTTGCCCATTTTTTTTTTTTTTTTTACCCACTGGGTTGTCTTTGTCTTATTAATTGTAGACTTTTTAAAAATATGTTTTAGATACTAGTACTTTGTCATATGGCTTGGCCTTTTATTTCTTCAACTCAGATTTATTGCCCTCAGACCGCTGCCAAGTCCCTCCTAGTATGTAGCTGATTTGAAATTACGTTATAGTCTTAAGTAATGTGGCAGATATTCAGAGTATTAAAAAGTTCTGTGGGAACCACTCAGAGGATTGGGGAGACACTGAGACAGCAGTGGGTCTGGCGGGGCCTTCCTGAGAAGTGGGGTACAGAGGCAGAAGGGCACATGGTCAGCCTCCAGGTCTGCAGCCACGCTCGCCCGGGCCAGCAGCGCACCCTCCTGCCTCCTCCATCTCCTGCTTCTCTCCATGCAGCCTCAAGTCCCCAGTCCCTCGCCCTCAAATCCCCGGTCCCTCGCCCTCAAGTCCCCGGTCCCTCGCCCTCTCTTTCCGCCTCCCTGCCAACAGGAGCAGTTTGGCTTTTCCACTTATTTGTCTTTCAGACTTTGTGTTTGTTGTTTTATGTCGAACAGAAGTTTCGACTTTTGATATCCTATTTATCAGTCTCTACCTTCGTATGATCTTTTGTGCTTTTTATGTCTTACCCAAGAAATCCTGTTCTACGCCAAAGTCAAAGACAGCTGCCTAGATTTTCTTAGAATAGCTTTTGTTTTTCACACTGAGCTCTTCAATCCGTCTTTTGTAGTTAAATTCACCTCCTTTTCTGTGGCTTTCCCTCTACGTGGATACTTTGAGTCCTCTCCAAGCTCCAAGGCCACATCGGCTGTCTCTCCTCTGTCACTTTGTGCTCCGCCTGCTCTGGGGACACTCAGGGTCCGCCAAGGGGATTTCTCTGTGTCTGGAGCACTGTTTGTGTTTGTGACATTGGAAGTTTGGTTTCATGCTGTGGACCCTGGCTCCAGAGGCTTGATTCCACTAGTGTTTCAAATTCCTTCAGTTTTGGGAACTCCCTTGGAGCCTGTCAGGTATGTTTTGTGCCTGGCATGGGAAATGGTTTATAAGGGACCCAGGGACAGCCATAAAAACGCTTCTGCTTACCCTGAACACGTGGCCCATGTGTTCAAAGGAACTGATAATGTAAGTTGTTCTCGTCAGTGTCCTAGCCTTATGGACACTAAAGTTATTCTAAGAAGTTGGGGCGCTTCAGATTTTTCTCACTCTTGCTCGCCCCCACTTAGAAAAAGAGAAAACAAGAAAAATCATTATCCTTCCCACAATCCATATTTTCTATAGTTCGGATGAAAAAATACCTGAAAATTAAGAAAGTAAGACTTATAAGACTGTCCTGATAGGTCGTCACCAGCAACCCTTGGAGAACATGGTAAAGGTGACGGTCCCAAATGCCTGTGGGAAGCGGCAGCTTCAAAAGGGACTGTTGCCCAGGACCCCCACGTGCACGCGGCCCTGCTATCCTGTCACCGGATGTCTCGCCGGCTTCTTTCTCAGCACAGGGGAGGTTTGAGCAGTGGGTGTAGGGTGATTCCCAAGTCAGCCCTTGGTCCTCCCCTCCAGGCAGCACCCCAGGGGGCCCTGTCTCCTGGCCTTAGCCATGGGCCACCAGCAGCTTGCAATAACCGGAAACTTATCGACAGTTGGCATTGTTTGCCCGTTTATTTCTGCTCGAAGAGATTTTTGCCTTCTTTTCTCTGTGTCCGCTGCATAGTAACATTTTCTTTTGACCCTGCCTTTGTGTTTCTTCCTAGGCCGGAAGCTGAGAGGAAAAGCCTTTTATTTTGTCAACGGCAAAGTGTTTTGTGAGGAAGACTTCCTGGTGAGTTTGTCGCCAAGGCTCCCCTTCCCGCAGTCCAAGGCAGAACCAGGTGGGGAGACATGGAGGGGCCCCGGCCAGGACCAGAGGGTGGCTCCCCTCTGTGCTCCTAGCGCCCGCGGGCCGCTGTGCTGCCCGAGGAGGGGGTCCTGGCCTTCCTTCCGCAGATGCCCGCATTCTAAGGCAAATGACAAACGGCAGGGCTTTGGGCTCTGAAGGGACTTCAGGGTCAGTCAGCCTGTCCTCTTGTTGCTTTGCTCATTTCTGCCTGCTCCAGCCGTCCCCGAAACCCCGGACCCAGGTCCGCCTTCTTTACCTCTCACCCCGCCTGCTCTCCGTGGGGACCCAGCCTCTCACGTGCCTCCACAGTCCATTTATGGGCCATCGACCCCCAGATCTGAGCTCCAGCCCTGTCAGCACCTCTGAGGCCAACTGTCGACATCTCACTAACCACTGGACAGTCTCTGGATTGGCCCCTAGCCCCTTAACGCCACTCGTCTGAAGCAGAAACATCACCTTGCCTTGGGTCCTATCTCTGAGAACTATGTCCTAGGTTCGTCCTCGACCCCCGTTTTCTAGTCTCTCCCAGATGCCAAGCCCTGAGCCTTGTGCCACCACGTCCTCCCTGGGCCTGCTTGGCTCACGAGGTCGACGCAGCTCTGCCAGCCTGGCCTAAGGGTCTCCTCCACGTGTGCGCGTCCACCGGGGTGGGGGCGGGGCGGCACGTCGCCAGCGTTCAGAGCATGCGCAGAAAAGCTCTGCCTCCCTCCCCACCTTGTCTCGCTCACCTCCTCCGTGCAGCCCCCGCCTCCGGGGCCTGCCTCGGCAGAGCACGTGGCGCACAGCATCTTGTCGGGTGAGGAGTCTTTTTCCCCGACGGGACCGTAGGCTCCTGGGGAGGGAAAATGACATCTCACTGACCACTAGACAGAGCACATGGCGCATAGCATCTTGTCGGGTGAGGAGTCTTTCTCCCCGACGGGACCGTAGGCTCCTGGGGAGGGAAAAATATGCTTCTCCACCTTTATATCATCGGATCTGAACACGATGCCGAGCGCGGAGTGACGCTGGGGAAATGGTAGTTGCACCGAGCCTGCATTTCAGCGGTGAGGAATGTGAGGCCCAGAGCTGGCCTGGGACCAGCTTCTTTGTGGATATGTGGATTGCTCATTATGACTCGCATTTGCCAGGCACAGACTAGCAAACCCAGACTGGCTTAAGCAAAAAGGAAATTCACTCCAGCAAGGCCCTCAGGAGTCATTCTCTCCTCCGTTTTTTGGCCCTGCCTCTCACTGTTAGCGTCTGTCTCGGGCACTGTAAGATGGCCACGTGGTGGCATCATCGGATCTGAACACGATGCCGAGCACGGAGTGACGCTGGGGAAATGGTACTTGTACCGAGCCTGCATTTCAGGGGAGTGTGAGGCCCAGAGCTGGCCTGGGACCAGCTTCTTTGTGGATGTGTGGATTGCTCATTATGACTCGCATTTGCCAGGCACAGACTAGCAAACCCGACTGGCTTAAGCAAAAAGGAAATTCACTCCAGCAAGGCCCTCAGGAGTCATTCTCTCCTCCGTTTTTTGGCCCTGCCTCTCACTGTTAGCGTCTGTCTCGGGCACTGTAAGATGGCCACGTGGTGGCAGCCCGCAGAGTGTCAGTCCCGCTTTGAGAAGCCTCTGCGAACAGCTCCTGGAGCCTCATTGGCTCTTGTTGGGTCTCACGCCATCCCTGGGCAAAATCATTGGTGCTGGAGGAATGCGAGGCTCTGATAGGCTAGATCCGAGTGGGTCAGCCCCACGGGAATCGTGGGGCCTGCGAGGTGGGCCTGGGGCTGGAGCCCAGGTGAAATTGCAGAGCTGTCCTTACCCCCAGAATGGAGCAGGTGCGGGACACCGAAGCCGCTACTACATAGTGAAGAGTTGCGGAAAGTTCCCAACTTTACCTTTTTTCCACTTTCCTTTAAGTTGTGTGCGCCATATCTAAACTTAAAGTACCTTCCAGTGCATAGTGTCTAGTGCGTTTTCTGAAGAGAGTTCCTCATTTCTTTCAAGACTCCAGCTGTGTGTGTGTGTGTGTGTGTGTGTGTGTGTACGGTAAGGTACTTAATATTTATCAAATTTTTTTGAAGCTAACTATAAAAGATATTGGCCTTTTAACCAGAAACAGATTTGAATTTGAGTCTTGTTCTTACTCTTTATAGGCTGTGTGACTTTCAGAAGGTCGCTTAACCTCTCTGAGCTTCCATTTGTGAAACAGTATACTATAGACATTGCAGAATTTTAAGGATTAATTAGAGTGGTGGTCTCAAACTTGAACATGTATTAGAATCCCCTGAAGGGCTTGTGAAAACACAACTTCCCTGGCCCACCACCCCCTCATTTTCCAATTCGGTAGGTCTGGGGTGGAGCCCAAGAATGTGCATTTCTTAAAGTTCTGGGTGATGCCAGGGAACTCCTCTTCGAGAACCCCCAGGTTGGAAATTAAAGCCTCTCTGTGTGCAGCCTCTTACAGAGGGCCTGGCATGGCGTGGGTGCCAGGCACAGCTACCGTTAGGGCAATTGGAATTAGTATTTGTGGTGGCTTTCGTGGCAGAGAATATTCCATGATTCATCACACAGCTGTGTTGTCCTCGCGGAAATGATAGGTTGCCGAACAGAGTGACAGATCTTTCTAAGAAGTTCCTCGTAATCCTCGTGACTGTCAGGGAAGTGGCTGGATCATCTGCCTTGCCTGCGTTTACCTTTCTCTTCTGCTTCCTCTGCAGTACTCCGGCTTCCAGCAGTCTGCTGACAGGTGTTTCCTCTGTGGCCATCTGATCATGGACATGGTGAGTAGGGTCGGTCCAACGAGATCAGAGCACGGTGGAAGGGGAGGCTTTCAGAGAAAAAAGAAATGAACGGTCGAGAACAGTTATCTTGACTTGTGATTGCAGCTGGTTTTGTTAAAAGTGGACCCCATGCAATGCAGCTGTTTGCTCCAGTAGAACCCACGTTGTTGGCGATTATTGGTACCAGCACCCTCATCCATCCAGTGCACGCGACGTGTGCTTCTGATGAAGCTCTGACCTCTGGGCTGTTCAGATCACACGGGCCTCCCTCTGATCGTCTGTGGTCCTGGCGGCATCCCAGGGGAGATGCCAAATGGAGCCTATTGTCACTGTAGAATTCTCAGCTACCTTGGAGTAGGCACAGAAAGTCAGATAAACATGGCGTTATCCCCTGTGTTCAGCTCAGCTCGATCCGTTCCTAAAATGAGTTTTTGGGAACTATCATTAGTTCTGGAACAATGGAACAAGGAAGAGTTTTATGCGTTCTGTTTCTTGCTCAGCCACTGGCTCTCTGACCTGTCTTGGGCCTCAGAATCTTTCTCTCTTTGGTAGGGACAGTTTTTCGTTCGGTGAGGTTGTGGGCTTAAAGAATACAGCGTTCTTATTCTGTCTCAAGGATCAAATTGTCCTGTCCACCTTTGGAGATCGGTCCTGTAGAATTTCTTTAATGTACTGGGCAGAGAAAAATGATTATAGAATATGCTCTTATGAAATCCCTAAGTTGACCTATTCATTCATTCTGGAGAAGGGAATTACTAATTATTGCTGTTTTTAAAATTTTACCTTTTTATTGAGAAACAACTCAGAGAATAAAGGGTACACATCTTAAATGTACAGCTGCATGAATATTTACATTTGCATATACCATGGAAGTACCACTTAGATCAAGATGTGGATCATCCCACACCCTAGAAAGTTCCTTTTTGGCCTTCTCCTACTTAAGACCCCCTTCTCACAAAGGTACCCACTTTTCTGACCTCTCTTGCCCCAGATTTGTTTTGCTGGTCCTGGAACTTCATATAAACAAAAGCATAGAGTGTAGACTCCTTTGGATCTGCCTTTTCTCAGTGAGAAAAATGTTTTCGAGATTCATTCATGTTGTTGCTTGTGTTGGTAGTTTATTTTCATTGCTAAGTAGAATTCCATTGTAGGAATATAGCAGTTTATTTATCCATTTCCCACTGATGGGGTTTTGGGTGGTTTCCAGTTTGGGGCTATTTATGAATAAAGCTGCTGTGAACGCTCTTAGGCATGTCTTTAAGGGATGTAAACACTCATTTCTGCTGGTTTTATGTTGACACATACAAAACAATGATCCAGAGCTGTCCCCGTTTATGAAGAGAACCTGCTGTCAGCCAGGCTTTGATACACCACAGCAGAGCTTAGCTCTGTGAGCAGCACCCCTGGGAACATGGCCCTCCACCCAGTCCCCCCTGGGGGGTCAGGCAGGAGCCACACGCCCTCACTCCCGCCTTCCCCAAGAGCCCGCCAGCCTCCTCAGGGTGCCACTGCTCTTTAGCAAAATTCGTCCTTGATTTCAGAGTCCCTCTGTCATATCTACCACGTAGGAGGTCAACAGTGTCCGAAGTTGTAAACATGATTACACTCTATTCTGAGTAGCCTAAGCCTTCTCTAGGTATTTAATTTATTGCTGTATGACACACCACCCCAAAAGTTAGTGGTTTAAAACAACAGTGACTTATTATTTATCATGATTCCATGGATCACGAGTTAAGTCAGGGCTCAGCAGGGCGATTCTTCTGCTCTTTGTGGCATTGGCTGGGTCTCTTTCTTAGCTGTGTTCAGCTGGTGGGAGAGTTGAACGTCCAAGATGACCTCTCACGTTCCAGGCCTTTCTCGCTGTGGCTGCTAATCTCATCTAGTATCTTGCTCGGACTTCCTTACAGCAAGAGAGAGGAAGCAGAAGCTGCCAGTCTTCTTATATGCTTAACTCAGAAGTTTCAGAACGTCATTTCTCCCTCATTCTGTTGATCAAAGAATGTCACAAGGCCAGTCCTGACTCAAGGGGAGGGGACACGGTCTCCCTTCTTCCAGTGAGGATCAGCCTGTGCGTACGGGAAGGGAAGGAACTGAGTTTGGGAGACAATCTCTACCACACTGGATAATGTGAACTTGAACCTGGATTCTGGCAGGCCTTCTCTAGGACTTGCAAACTCTTCGTGAATGTCTGTCTGGTAGTGACACTTAGTTTTAAAAACAGAACCCTTACCTGCTGCCCCAAATTATAATGGTGCAGAGAAAGATTCCTTCAGATACCATTCTCGGTTCTCCAGCAGAACCCCATTTGTTCAACTCTTTGTTTTGATTGTCTGTCCGTGCCCCGCTTTGTGCTAGACGGATTAACTACTCTGGGCTTGCAGCTCGGAAATGGGCATTTTCCCACGTTAAAAAAAATAATAATAATTCCAGCCAATCAGAGCGCAACAAAATGGCATCTTTATCCTACCGTGCTCCTGGAACAGTGTGGGTTAAATTAATTTAATGGTTTCTTTCCGCCAAGACAGCTTTAGCCCAAGGGTGAAATGCGTCCCAGGGTCTGAATGGCCAAGTGGACTTTGGCAGCCCAGCGTAGTTCTTTTTATTTTGGTATCTTGAGAGGGACCTTGAAAGTTAGTGAAATCCTAGAGGGAACGAGGAAGCTGGAAAGCTGGGCGAGCAGGAAGTCCTCCCCTCACCCCTGTGGCCGTCTCGTGAGGTGGGCACAGTGTGTGAGTGTGCAAGGCGTGGCAGTGGCCTCTGGAGACAGGAAGGAGCGGGCACAGGCCCGTCTTTGCCACAGGTCTCACAGTGCACTGACAAGGTTTCCCGCAGTTTCAAGTTCCCTTCCTTCTGCCTCTCTGGGGGCGCTCTGTGTGGCCCCCACTCCCGAATGCCGATGACTCTTGTGTCCGTTGCTTGCAGATGTGTGTTTCGGTGCCAGCTTGCTGGTGCTGCTTCCAAAGCTCAGTTGTTTGTACTCAGTTTCATGGCCCAGGTAATTGCAGAAATGAATCTCCTACTGAGTCACTGAAGATTTTTTTCAACTGCACATTATAGAAAAACCGAGACGCGTGTTAACTCAAACTTTCACGTGCATCAGAATCACTTGATGAAAACGCCAACTGCGGGGCCTTACCCCAGAGTCAGAGTCAGTGATTCTAGAGCTCTGGAGTGGGGCCCGAGAATGCGCCTTTCTCACAAGTTTCCAGGTGATGTCGGTGCTGCAGATCTAGGAATAGTACTTGAAGAACCACTGACTTAAGAGGAACAATGTTTTATCTTACCCAGCAAGAGGTTCGGAGGTAGGCAGTTCCGTGGTGGGTGAATTTGGTGACTGACTCACTGACGTCACCGAGGAGTCTCTTTCCATCTCTCCTGTCCCCTCTCCTCTGTCTTGGCTCTGTCCTGGTTTCAGGATGGCCTCTTACAGTTCCAGGCATCACATCCAGATCAGATGACGCTGAGAGAGGAAAAAGGTTTGTGGGGCTTTCTCTTCCGTGTGTTTAAAAACAACAGCAACAAAGAGGCTTTGCTTGTACTTGGATTTGAGATAATCGGGGGCCGAGTCACGGCTTCTGGATTATCATGCGGCAGAGTCAAAGCTGCTTAGAAGGGGCCCCAGGAGGCCGGAGTTAAGAGGTTTTTTCCCAGAGCTCTGCATTTTCCTGGGGAATTTCCTTTCATCTTTCCGTGTGTTCGCCACTTCCCAGATCTGGGATGGATCCTTTCGTGGCCCTGCTCTGCATCATTTCCTGCAAAGAACCGTAAACATTTTTTTGATAGAGAGCCCTTTAAATTCTGTCCCGAAGGTTTCTGAGTGCAGGAGAAAGATCCTGTTTGGTCTCCTCCTGTTTGTACGTGTAACTGGATTAGCCTGTCCTGCCCCGTGTCATCTCTCCTGACCTTGGTCCAAGTGAAACTCTGGAGCGAGTGTGCCCGCGTGGTGTGATTGCTCACACGGTCCCTCCGCCTGATGTGCTTCTGCCTTCCATTGTGCCCTCCTTCCCCAGCATCCCACTGAGTCCTGGCCTTGTTCTTCTTGCCCCCAGATCCTGCAGGCCCTGGGGAAGTCCTACCACCCCGGATGTTTCCGCTGTGTCATCTGTAACGAGTGTTTGGACGGAGTGCCCTTCACCGTGGACTCGGAGAATAGGATTTACTGCGTCCGAGATTACCACAAGTAAGGAGGGCCGGGAGCCGCATGCATGAGCCACACGGATTGGAACTCAGCAGAGCGACACATGGCAGCCGGCTGAGGCCCATCTGCAGGCAGCTTGTACCGTTAGTCGACAGTTCAACAAAGGCTTAATGGTGTGAGAGGGTGGGGGGGGGGTCCTCAGGAGCTCAGCTGATGCCTGAGCAGACAGGAACTGATTAATGAATCATGTTTACTGAAGAAAAAACCATCAAATCCGCAAGTCCCATGTCTCCAGCTTTACCTGACTTCACAAGGCACCAATTCAGGGGGCCGCCGCCACCCTTGGGTGCCTGGGCCTGAACCAGGCACCATGTGGAGAATAAACAGTCTCTCTCCCTAGTGAGAGGGACCCAGATGTGCTCGTTACCACTTGGGAACAGTCCCAAAGCTACATAAGCAAGTCCCCAAGAGTGAATCGGCTCTGTCTGCTCAAGGGCTGGAGGTTCACTTGAACAGCAAAGGCGGGACGTGGGGCTCTGTGCGGGCCCCGGGGGTGAGTCTCCCAGGAGCACCCCAATGTGCGTCTTACTGCCGCTTTGCTTCTCCTCCCAGGGTGTTGGCCCCCAAGTGTGCAGCCTGTGGGCTTCCCATCCTTCCACCCGAGGTAAGAGGCTTCTCCAGACCCGCTCCTGGGGCCTTCCTTGGCTTGGAGTTCTCCCTGGGGTCATTTACAAGATCTGCGTCCTGTCCTTTTACCTTTGAAAAAAGTCCTCTAGAATCTCGACTCTGAGATGCGTAGTGTGCTCGCCAAGAAGCCCCCCTCTCAGCTGGCTTTCCCAGCCCAGGGCCGTCTCGTGCCCTGTTTGTCCCTGTGATCAAGTCAGACTCTGACTTGGTACTAACTCCCAGATCAGAAGATGAGCAGATGAGCAAAGCCACACGGGTGGTTTTCTCAGAGTTGGTGCCAGCATCCGAGGAGGTGGGGCTGCTGTCCCTCCTGCTGCTTTTCCTCCCCGTGCGGCTCCTCTCCTGGTTTCTGCTCTTCTCCTAAGGCCACCTACGTGATCCTCAGAAGCATCCCCCCTCCCCCCGCAACATGCGGAGCCCCCCAACCGGCCTCTCGTTCTTGCTTTTTCTCGGTCCAGGGCTCAGATGAGACCGTCCGCGTCGTGTCCATGGACAGAGACTACCACGTGGAGTGCTACCACTGCGAGGTGGGTCCCTCCCCGCCCAGGCCCCAAAGCCTGATTGACGGCCCAAGAGAAAAGCATCCTGGGGGACTGGGGCAGTGACTGGGGCAGTGATGGCCCACGAGGTTCAGACAAGGGGCCGCCCCTCAGAGCTGATGGAGGGAATGGGGGGGCCTGATTGGTGGGGTGGGGTGAGGTTTGAGAGGATGCAGGCGTTTAGGCCGTGAAGGTCTGTACTATTTTCTCCACCATCATAACTGCCGAGTCCCGAAGCCGTCACAGCTTCCGTCCCGGAGGCTGCAGAGCGGGACGGTCACGGGGAGGGTGGGTTTTACGTCCTGTTTGGGGGCCACATCGTCTGGCAGATGTGTGATTTGGGGGACGGACCCCCTCCCCTCCAGCTCGTAGGCTGTTCTGTGAGCCCCTCTCTCTGCTGAGCCCTGGAAGTCATAAGGAAACCCCCACTGGGCAGCAGGGATGGCTCGGGCCGCTGTGAAGGTGGGTGGTGGCCGTCCGCTTCTTCTCTGTCCTCGTGTCACACACACCTCAGGCTGAAGAAGCCACCGGTGCCCCGTGACTGTTAGGCCTGCCAGGGGGCGCCGCTCAGCAGCCCTCGTTTATGGTGCAAATACAGGCACAGTCAGTGCCCGTGGACTTCCAGCCAGAAAGAAGTAGACTCACCCATGAAAGGAGATGGGGTGCATTTTGCGCTGTGGTGTCGGGGAGAGAACAGGGCATGGGGGTGACAGGTGGCTTGATCCCACCACCAGCACTGAAGAAATAGCTGGGAATCATGGTCGGTGGTGCCCCAGGTGCTGGCGAGAAAGGTGAGGACACTGAATAGACAGTCCCCACTGCGTATTCCAGACCAGTGCTGTCCAGTAGGAACTCGAGAGCCACGGAGTCAAGTCATGAGAGCAGTTTGTTTTCTAGTAGCCACGTTTAAAAAGTCAGAGAAATAGGCAGGATTGGTTTTTGTGACCATATTTTATTCCACCTAATCTATCCAAAATGTATTGTTTCAGCCTGTAGTCACTATAAAGCATTTTCCCCGAGATATTTTATATCTTTTTTATGTCCTAAGTCTTGAATCTGGTGTGTGTTGACATCTAGGCTCGTTTCTGGGCAGCCCCGTTTCGAGTGTTCGGTACCAACACGTGGCCAGTGGCCTGGGGCTTGGACCGTGCCATCCAGACCTCCCCTGGGGAGCGCGGGGCGCTCCGCATCTGCATTCTGTGTCAGTATTACAGTCCTTCTGCTTGGTTTTGTTACCACCGGACATTCTTGCCTCACCCAGGACTGTGGTCTGGAGCTGAATGACGAAGACGGCCACCGCTGCTACCCGCTGGAGGACCACCTGTTCTGTCACTCCTGCCACGTCCAGAGGCTGGACAAAGACCCCTCAGCCCCGGCGCTTCACCAGCACTTCTAGCCGGAGCCTCTTACCGACTCGGGGCGGGGGGACGAGAGGCCAGGGGGGCACAGTGAGCAATCCGCCTGTAGTCCCAGTGGCCCCTGGGGTAGAACTGGGGTGGGGAGTGCCTGCGCCTGTATGGGGGTGCCTCTCCTTTCACCACCGAGGTGAACCCTGCTCGTCAGGTTGTGTATTTTCCGGGTGCCTTTCTCCACCGCCATGCCCTTATCACATTACTCAGGAAGACCCGCCAGCAAGCGGGCGGCATGTAACATCACATCAGTGCCACCGAATGACCCGGCCTGTCCCCTCTGGGAACAGCCCACTTCAGAGGGAAAAGGTTTGCACTGAACGCATTTCACATTGTCCTCTGAAGAGAGATTTCAGCTGCCGATGTGTTCGGCCCTGTCCCTCCCTCCAGAAAATTACCTGCACTCAACGTCCCACCACACACACACACACACACACACACGCATGCACGCACACACACACGCACACACGCACGCACGCACACACATGCACGCACACACACCATGATTTAAGGCTTTCTTCGTCCCCAGAGCTTCAGTTCTTCTGTAGAATGGCTGCGAATTTTAATTGCCTTGTGGCAAGAGAGAAGCTCTTAACATGTGCTTTGTATCTTAGGGAGAGTTTTCTTGGTAAAGCGGAGCCACGCGTTGGAATAAAGTGAGACAGGGCGTCCTCCTTCTACACCGACAGCATTCTGTCCCCCCACAAATCTCCACTCCCTTCCAGGCAGCTGGGGGCCTGACGGGGATCGTCCTGTTCTAGCAGGGTGTGCTTTGGGGCAAGAGCTTGGTGCAGGCGCCAGGCCCCTTGCCCCCCGTTTGCCCTTTTTCCCTCCACGGCCCTCGAGAGTCTGCGACTTGGGAGTTGCTCCCGTGAAGGCAGGTCTCAGGACCCCACGTGCGGTCATCTGCTCGTGCCCGTTCAGCTTCTCTAATGATGGGCTTTTGGAAGGCCCGCCTGCGTCCTGAGAGCTAGCCCCTCATAAACAAGAGGTGTTTGCGTGTGTGTGAGACCCCAAAGCCAGCATGGAGGGCATGCCTGAGAATAAGTTATTATATTCGTTTCATAGGTTTCTCTCTTGCCCAGTTCTTGGCATAGGCAAGACATTTGAAGAAACCAGTATAAGGTACACTGCTTTTGTCTGTTTTTTTTTTTTTCTTTTTTAATTGTTTCCCTCCACTTCCAGTCTTCCACACACAAAAAATACCTCACAGATAAGAGCTTCACCAAATCTCAGAGAAAGAAGGAATTTGGCCCTCGCAGTGGACTCGGACACCTTCTTCGGTGCGTTAGGGACCTCTGGCTTCCTTCGGGCCGTGTACTCCAGCAGGTCAGGGCACTGCAACCCTAACCAAATTGGGTCAGCTGGGAATAGAGCCGATTGAAATTGGGTGCTACAGCCTTTCGCATTTCATCACACTGGCTCCCCGGGGTAGCAAGGGCGGAGGGAGGGCCACACACTGGCAAGATTTCAAGGTCACCTCTGCAGTGAAGAGGCAGAATTGGCCCCGCATGTCACAGGACGTCAGTTCCCCTTGGGATTTCAGTTCTGCTCCCCGTCTCCTTACCTCACACCTCGAGCCAGGGGCCTGGGGGGCTGGGGCCGTGGAGGGCTGTTGGCAGAACCCGAAGGCGCCAGGGGGGCCCGGTTCCACTTCTAGGCCATGTGTTGACTCCTTCGGAAGTGGTTGCCTGTACGAAGCACGGGATTGGCGCTGTGGATCGTTTCACAATTTTATTCGTGTCATTCTGCTGGGATCCTCAGGCCAGATGTCACTTCAGCCCAGGCCGCATGCTTTCGTCGGTTTCTTTTCACGATCTGAGCCTCCTGAAAACCTGTGATTGCGCAGGGCTGGGGACCTGACCCCTGGGGTCACGTTACTCTCTTCCCATCAAGTCCTCCAGTTCAGCTGGGGCAAGGTCGCTGGGCAGCTGAAGCCAGCCGATATGTCTCACCCTGTCTTGGCCAGCCCAGGAACGTGCTGGCATTTGCAGACTCACCTTTGCTCCACTGTCAAGGCCAGCAGAGTGAAGAAAGTTGTCTTGGAGCCACTGTCAAAAGCAGCAATGACTTGTTTGCAAATTGGGTAACTAATAGTTAAATCTGTGATTCATTTTTTTTTTTAAATGAAAATTTAGAAACAGCCTTGATCGAGATGATTCAGATCTCGCTGTAAATGTGGCATTTTATGTTGTCGAAGAAGAATAAGAGAATTTCCAGAAGTCTTAAAAATCTGGGCGGCAGTTTCTCGTGTCATCAGCGTCCCTGGAGAGGGCGCCGGGCAGGACTCTCGCTGCGTTTCTGTTCCCCTCCTGCTCAGGCCCTCGCCATGGAGAGACATTCACCTGCCTGGATTTAAACCTTCTGTAAGTTGTTAGCCAAATAGAACTATAACGGGCTTGTGTTTATAGGCACCTAGAAAGAAAGCACAAGCGCCTGGAAGGCCAGGGCGAATAAGTTCGTTGTGAACGTCGGAGCAAACAGCCCTTCCTGAGTGCCCTAGACACCTCTTGGACTTTAGATAAGCGAGAATTACGGCCTGGTTCCAGACCCAAAGCCAGCCTCCAGCCTTCTCCCTTGGCTCATTTTGCCCCTTTAGTTTTTGCGTGACTCACCCCACCTCCCACCCCGACCCCACCTCAGGAACTGCCTGGGTGGTCTGAGGGGAGCCAGTAACCCCGTGTGGCCTGCTGTTTCAGGATTCTCTGTCTCTCTGATATGGTTCCCCCATCCGTCGCTGACTAGATAGAGAGTGACGTGTCCATCTCTCACCACGGAAGGGCATCCTGCCCGTGTCATGACCCGTCCCCAGTGCAAGACTTTCATTGCTCTGTAGTTAGTGCTGGAGTGAAACCTCTTTCAGCTGAGTCCTGAGGTCATGCCATTGAGTCCTGGGTGGCTGATGGAACTGTCACGGAGTTCTGATCACCATCGAGCGCTGCCGTCACCTTGTCTCCACGGGCTCGAGTCACGTACAAAGGGAAGACAGAACTGCTAGGACCTGAGAGATTTGGCATTCACCGTCCTTTGCAGGCTGTCTCTGTGTGCCACTTCCCGTGTGTGTGCAAGCGCGAGCTGTGACAGCTGCTGGTACTCTTGCAAAGCATACGTGCAAGACGACTTCACGCCATCGATGCTTGATGCACTTGTTAATAAAACCCTGTCTGCCAGCAAACCAAATTCTTTGTACTCTCCTTTGTGCCAGAAACAGCCCTAATTTCCCAGTTACTATTTGAAGTAACTTTTTAAAAGTAATAGGAAAGAAAATAAAACACGAGTGACATATGTTAGCTCTCTGTCATTCTGAGCCAGAACTGGACAGATGTGGGACATTTCCATGGAGTGTATGAAAATGTCAGCCGTGTGGGGAGGTGGAAATTACTTTCCTCTGTGTCTCTTCTACTAGAAAATTATTCAAAAATTTATTGTTACTATAAAATTATGCAAAATATCGTTACTATAAAATTATTTGAAATTTTACTGTTATAAAATGATTCAAACTATCATGATAATAAAACTGCATCAATTTCTCCAACACTATGATATTTACTGAGTGTTCTTTTGTGTGTGGGGGGTAAGAAGATGGTGCTTTTTGCTAAGTGCATTTAGTCTTCTCTTAGAGCCCTCAGTTCTTAAAGGAACACTTGGGTGTCAAAACTGGGAAGGGTCTGAGATTTTACCCTGTAGGTATGTGCCTTATTTCAGTCAATGATAGACCACATGTATGAGGGTGGTCCCATAAAATTGTAATGGAGCTGAAAAATCCCTCTCACTAGTGACATCACAGCCATCAACAAGTCACGATGCCTTACGTGTTTGTAGCGATGCTGGTGTGAACAAACCCACTGCACTGCCAGCCGTGTGAAAGTGTGTCACCTACAGTTATGCACAGTCCATAACACTCGGTAATGACAATAAATGACTGCGTACTGGGTTATGTATTATATTTTTATCGCTATCTTAGAGTGCGCTCTTTCTACTTATAAAAAAAGTTTGCATAAAACAGGACGTGGTGTGACCCTGGCAGCAGCCTCCTGCATCTCGTGTTTACTGTGTCTCGATTGCATTTAACCCCGTGTTGTTCTGTACCACAACGTGCTATACAGGTTTGTGGCCCAGGAGCAATAGGCTCTGCCACAGAGCCTCGGTGTGGGGCAAGCTGTACCATCTAGGTTGGTCTGAGTGCGCTCTGTGATGTTCATACAATGACGAAACTGCCTAATGGCACATTTCTCAGAATAGACCCTCGTCATCAAGCAGCCCATGACTGTGCTTACAGGCTAATAAGTTAGCGTGCTGTGGTTTCACGGGTCCTGGCAGAAGTTATGAGACTCCTAGGTCAGAGACAAAGGACAGTTTAATACTCACAGCAACAGTAGTAGCATTTCACTTTATGGGCATCTGCACCGGTTCCCTGAGCCCGAGCTCCAGCGGGACCCATGGACAAGGCCATGTGATAGCTGCGCATGCAATGGGCTGTATTACAAGAAGGAACTCAAGCCCAGGGAACCACAGTTTTTTGTTTTTTGTTTGTTTTTATAATGGGCGGTGAGCCTGCCTGAGGTTGCTCCAGACAGACACATTTCATTCAAGACAGTTCACTACACCAGCATCCTTGAAAGGACAATGTGGAGCTAAGGCAGTCGGCGCCTAGCTCACTAGGTGTGTAGGAAGGTGAGAGATCTTTGGAGAATTATCTAAGAGTCGGCAGTTTCTTCTGCGGAATCCTTAATATTGAGATTTTTAAGGTCATGCTGCACTGG